AATGCAAATAAAAACTGTGCTGAGCTATCCTCTCCTCTCACCTAATTAAGAATGACTATTATCAAAACAACTAAAGATAACAGGTGCTGTCGAGGTTAGGGAGAAAAAGGGGACTCTTGCACATTATAGAACAAAAGCGATATGGAGTTTCTCTAAAGAATTAAAAACAAAACTACTGTTGTGATCGGGCAATTCACTACTGGGAATGTATCCAAAGAAAATGAAATCAGTATGTCAGAGAGACACATACCCTGCCATGTTCATTGGAATACTAGTCAAAATAATCAAGAAATGGAAACAACCTAAGTGTCCATCAGAGTCTAAAGTCTAAACTGTGGTACATGTACCCAGTGGAATTTTGTTCATCCACAGAAATGAAACTGTGTCATTTTTGCCAGAGTGGCTAGAACTGGAGATAATTATGTTGAATGAAGCCAGATAGGCACAGAAAGACAAGCACATCACATAATCTCACTCATGGAGAATCTAAAATTATGATCTCATGGAGACAGTGGAGCAATGATTCTCAGGGGCTGGGGAGAATGGGAGGAAGGCCAGATGGGGAGAGGTTGACCAATGGCTATTAACTTAGAGTTTAAAAGAAATAAAATGTTCTGACAATCTATTGCACAGCAGGCTGATTGTATATAATGAAAATATGCTTCAAAAAACTAGAAAAAAGGTTTTGAATATTTTCATCATAAAGAAATGGAAAATGTTGAAATATACAGAAATGTTTAATCATAAATATTATATAATATATACATTATCAAAACATCATGTAAATGTATACGATTTTTATTCAAGTACCACATACGTGTGTATATTTTTTGTACTTTTTATTGATCTCTTAAAAAGAAAAGTATTAGAAATGAGTCATGTATAACTAATTAAAACAAATATTAAAAAGGAATGAAGAAATCTCAATAAAATATGTGATTTAGTTAAAAATATGATATGAATATTGATACATTAATTGTGCAAATGTATAATACTAAATTAAGATGTTAATAATATGGGAAACAGGTTCAAGTATATGGGAAATCTCTGTAACTATTTTCAATTTTTCTATTAATCTAAAACTGCTTCAAAATAAAACTGCATTTAAAAAAATTTAAGTAAACACTCACCATTTCCCAAGTAGAATTAATTCTGTTAACACAAATGCTGATATGAGAATAGTAATTGATAAGAATAGTGTTTTGTAGTAGCTTTATTTGTCATTGCCACAAACACAAGGGATGACTGTTATATGAACTAGAAAATTTATCAACTGTGGTTAATTTGTCGAATAAAATAACATTTGACAGTCATAAGAAATGAGCTTCTGACAAACACACAATGATAAAACACAAATGCATTGCATTTAGCAACAAAGTCAAATTTGAAAGCTAGCTGGTGTACTTAAATTTATTTGAATTCTCAGACAAACTCATTCAGACACAAAACAAGTCAGATGTTACCAGAGAAATTTTTACAAATAGAACTAGAGCACTATTTAGATAATGTGTTATTGTTCAATATTTTGACTGTGGTAGTGATTGTATAACTTGTATACACATATTTTAAATCACAGAATAATATACTAGAAAGGGTGAATTTTGATGCAGATATGCTAGCCCTTATTATAGAAAAAGATCATATCTATTGCAACAACATAAAGGGTCACCCTAAAAAATATATGGCACAAAATAACCTCTTGCATGTTAATCAAAAATGCTAATTTACTCCTGGTCAAATCTTGGAGAGTTTTACTAGCAGCCAGGACAATGTGGGCTAATTTATACACTGGACAAATTGTGAGAGTAATTTCCATTTAGAATCATAGAAACATGTGAAAAAGCATTAATAGAGTTTGGCAAACTCTTTCAGTGAATGGTGTAAGTTATATTCAAAGTTAAGAGTCTGCTGGGGCTAAAAGTAATTAGAACTCAAAAGCACTATGAGGTAGACTGGTGTTGTAGAGCTCATTAGAATCATAGACCTTTTAGAACTCTTTAAATTAGATTTTAAAGAATGTGAACTCTGATATGATCACCACTATGAGGAAAATGAAGAAGTCAAGATGCTGGCCCTAAAAGGTTAAGGATTTGTCAGTTCTGCCTTTATCAATGAATTCATTTGTTAGATGAAAATTTAATGACTTCATTACAACTTGGAAAAAAAAGAAGTATCTTAAAATGGAAAAATTAAAGAGAAATCAAAGGAAGTGATTAGGATTAGAATGCCAAATTACAAAGAGTTTTGGTCCATCCCATAAGCCGTTTGTGGCAAGCACAGTACTGCCCATTTAAAAGTAGTGAATGAACATGGCGGATATGTAACAGAAACTCTCTCTTTTAATCCTCAAAGCAACAAAACATTAAGTTCTGTAATTATTACCCCACCTGTACAGTTGTGATTACCAGATGGTTTGACATCTGAATTTTTACATTTTATTGCTCTTCAAGATTTAGCCACCCGCCCCCTCACAATTTTCAAGAGGACACTGGACAACCATGAGTATTGAATCCTATCAAGCAGTTTATAATCCTGACGTACTTGGCAAAGTTACTGATGAATTTGACCTTATTTTAACATTGCTTTCTATCTCATTGCTATCTTTCTCTGTTTCTCCACTGATGAAGAGAGAACAGAATAAAAGTGAACAGGACAGAGTATAGAGGCAGCCTTCACAGAACCCTAGTCCTGATTGAACTAAACTGGACAAACTGCTTAGGACAGGCCATGGCATCACAGATTCACATTATTTATGTAATCCTAATTTATTTGGATTTATTCTCTTTCTTTTCCTTTATAACATCTAAAGTTACGTTCTTGACTCATTAATGCTCAGCCTTTCTTTTCCAATTTAATTATTTCAAACTATGAATTTACATATAAATGTTGCTTTAGCTGCATCTCTAAAGGTGCTGGTTTTGACAAGCAGAATTTTGTCTTTTATGTCTAGTCACCTAGTTTCCATTACTTTATCCCGAAATTATTGATCATTGGCTTATTTTTCTAGTATCCAAACATGATTTTTCTAGATCTCTATCTCTCTCACTTTAAACTCAAACTCATTATAATCACAGAACATTTCATTTTGCTTTGAAAATATTTGAGAGTTGTTTTGTGTCCCAATTCCCACACAAACTTCATATTTTATGGTTGTAACACTTGATCTAACTTTTGTATTGGTTTATTGAAATCCTTTGTGACCCTACTGATATTTTCAGTTTTATTTGTTTTACAACTATTAAGAAAGTCTAGCCAATACTTTGGATAGGGCAAAGGAGAGGGAGGAGAAGGGAGGGGGCATGGGGTAGGAAAGATGGTGGAAAGAGATGGACATCATTACACTAAGTACATGTATGGATATGGTGTGACTCTGTGTACAAACAAAGACATAAGAAATTGTGCTCCATTTGGTGCTCTGAATCAAAGTGCATTCTGCTGTCATACATAATTAATTAAAACAAATAAATAAATAAATTTTTTAAAAGTCTATCGAAAACCCCCACTGTGATTGTGAATTTTTTACTATCTTATTAATGTGGTTTTTTCTGAAAAAATTTGCTTTCTATGTAGTTAGGTACATCAACTTAACTCTGTTTCTGATGAGTTGGAACATTCATTTTTTTTTTAAGTTGTAGTTAGACACAATACCTTCTTTATTTTATTTATTTATTTTTACGTGGTGCTGAGGATCAAACCCAGCAACTCGCATGTGTTAGGTGAGCTCTTTACTGCTGAGCCATAACCCCAGCCCTGAGTTGAAACTAACTTAAGCACTGATTTCTTTTATTCCTAATGATGCTTTTTGCTAATTAAAATTACTTATTCATGCTAGCATAAGTTCATCCACAACCTCTTGGCTTGTAACTGATCAGTACCTGCCTATGTTTTCCAGTCTGCTCATTCAGATTTGCCAATGTTTGCCACCTTTTCTGTTCACCTCTCCCTTTTTTCATTCCAGAAATTCCATGTGAGATCAATTTAATTTTGCTTTTCAGAAAAATTTTAAATATTTGCTTTAAAGAGTGGCTGTGGTGTGAAATCTGAGCATTTTGCCTGAAAATATCTTTGCACTGCTATCATCTGTGATACTTCCAGTTGACATATCTGTAAGCTCTGTTTTCATTTTCCACAGTGTAAGCTATTTAAGACAGTTTTTCCCACAGTCCACTGAGTTTTGTTCCTGTGTTGGAGAAGTGAGCAGCAGGACGATTCTCCTGTCTTTCAAGATACTCTGCCTTTGCTCTTTTTGTAAAGCTGAGTTTTCTCATTGATAATCTCTATTTTCACTCTGACATACTCGGGCCAGGCATTCTCTTTATTTATCCTACTTGTTATTCTTGCACTTCCAATTATTTCTGGAATATTCTGTCATGTCTCCAACTTTGCCTCTTCCTCTTCCCTATTCTCTATTTTCTCAGGAATAGTGACTAGATGTGTGTTTTTCTCCTCATTTTGACTTTCATTGTTCTTGAATTTAAAAAAAATCTTAATGTTTTTGTGCTGGGTCCTAGATAATTTCTACAAATTTATTTTTAAACTAACTAATGTTGATTTCAGTTATTATTTAATTTATTGAACTGGTTCAATTAGTTTTGAATTCACTTATTTTATTTTTCTCTTTAGTTTCCTTTCAATGTGATTCTGATTCTATTCATATATTCAAGTATATGAATATATGAACCCAGGAATGCTTTGCCACTGAATATACCTTGTTGAAGGTTTTTGAGGTCTTCCAACTATATGTAAGTAATGATATCTCAAGGTTTTAATTCATTTTGTCTAATAAAAGCATATTTGATGTGATTTTATTTAAGTTTATTACTAAAGCATGAAAACATTTTATATTATATTTTGGGGATCTTTGCATTTCTTTCTATCTAATTGATTAAAGTAAGTACCTGAAGTTAAGCCTCTCCTCCAGGCTTAGGTGAGAGTGAGAGTTCTTTTTTCTATGGTTATCTGTTGTGAAACCTTGAAAGGAATAAGAATCTCAGAATTCATTGGTATGTGATTGTTCTTCTTTAATAAAATAATCCAGATTGCATTGATGTGCTAGAAGATAATCTTTTTCCCACATATTCAATACATATAGTTTTACTGATGTCCTGCAGACATTGAATTCAATACTCTGTTACAGATGAAGTACTGCAAAAAAGCTAGCCAAATCTCATTTTAAAACACAAGGCAAACTGGAGTGAACATAGATGATTCTTGCAGAACAAAGCAAAGAAAATCATTTCAACTTGTAAGAGCTCAGACACATTTATGCTTGCTTTAGGTTGATAATTTTAGTTGGGAATTTAAATTGCTGAATTTGTGTCAAATAAATGGAATATTATTATTTTTTTCTGTCTGTACTATGAAAACTCCAACCCCATCTGGCTTTGTTGGTACCGTGCAAATACAATGATGTTATATTTAAAAAAAAACTTGAATTAGTAAATCAAAGTATCAGGTAGAGTCCAGTCAGAAAAAAAATAAAAGATTTGTTGAATAATAGAATAGAACAGAAGAGTATTGAGGAGTGAAAACATGGAAAATGTGACAGCAGACATCCAGTGGCAACCAGTGTAAGCAATAACAGGAAGCTGTTGCCACCTCTAGGGGGAGGTGAGTTGTCCTGGGCCTGCATCCAAGGCTTCTGATGGAAATGAGAGCTGCAGATATGACTTGGCAACTTCCAAACTTGCTTCCTGGAGCAGAGAAGAAGATGCGTGTTTCTCTCATCCTTCATCCTCAGTTGGCCCCAGTGCATTCCATTGCCTACCAAAAGAGTGGGAAAGAGTTGGTTAAGAGGGAACCAGTCTGTGAGCAATCAGGCAAAACTCAGTCCAGTGGCAATATAAGGAAATAAATTATACTATATTATTGACTTTCTGAAACTTTAATATGGGTTCAGATATTCCCCGAGGTGTGTTATTTGTAAGATCCCCAAATTAATGCCCCATAATTACCAAGCCCCTGGTTACTACATTTTCTTTAACTGCTGTTGCTATACATAAATAACATAATTAAATTAGAAAATGTGATTATGTTTATTATGAATCAATTCTGTATTTAACTTGAAAGTAAAATTAAATGTCACTCAAAAGTCCAGGTAAACTAATTGAGGAAAAAAAAATCAATTTGTATGTATGTATAAAGTGTGTGTAGTTGGTTTGAGGCATTCTTACATTAGAATGCCCTAGAGTTTTGTTGATAATTATAATACTCATGCCCTCTAATAACAATAGGCAACAATAACTAGTAGATTATTTTTCAAGATATTTTCTTCTGGCACTTTCTGAAAAGGCTAAGAAAAAACAAAGCTCCCAAATAACCACAAATATTAGTAGGGAGTAAAATCCATCATAGGCCAATTATTTAATTGGCTCATTTTCTCAAAGTTGGTGTCAGTTTACACTTTCTATACTGTTTTATTTGTGTTCTTCCTCACCTAAGGAAACCATTAAAGTCTAATTTGATGGGCTAGGTGATTTTTATCTCTCATTCATTAGTGAGACAAGATTTAGAAAATCATTAAACCTCTCCAAATATTTCTTAAACATTTAAATATGGGAAAGGATGTAGTAATCAAAATTATTTACCAGGAATCCCAGTTCCCCCTAGGAATGTATCATAGAAGATCATTCAACTCTCCAAAACCATGTGCAGATATTTACTAAAAGCTTGGATATAGTGATGAATATCAAGTAAAAAACCAAAGACACAAAGACATGATCAATCCACCACAATAACTGACAAACTCATCTTCGTTAAAATATGAATCTACTGTTCTGTAAAGTTAATGTCAACAGAATGAGAATACAAGTCAGAAACTGGGACAAAATATCGGCAAAGCACACATCTAATGAAGGACTGTATTCCAAATACACAACGAACTCTTAAAACTCCTCAATAAGATATCAATTTAATGAGGAAAAGAACCAAAGACCTGAAAGAATATTTCACCAAACAAGATACACAGATGCTCCACATCATGAGTCATCAAGAAATTGCAAATTCAAATCTCAGAGCCTACTACACATTCATCAAAATGTCAAAATATATAGAACCCCAACAAGAGGGATGCTGATGAGGACCTGAGACAACAAGAACTTGTGTTCATTGCCTGTGGAACACACAAAGTCAGAGCCACTTTGGAGGGCTGGCAGTTTCTTACAAAATGAAACACACCTTCACTATTCAACCCAGCAAGCACACTCCTTAGTATTTACTCAAGAGTGTTTTAACCTCATTGCCACACAAATACCTGCACTTCTTTCATAATTGCCAAGATTTGGAAGAAACAGATGTCCTTCCGTATGTAAATGGATAGAAAATGAGGTTCATCTAGACTACAAGATATCATAGACATCATTCAGCACTACAAAAGAATGAGCTATCAAGCCAGGAAAAGACATGAAAACCTTAAGTGCATATTATTAGGTGAAAGACAACCTGAGAATGTAGTGTACTGTATGATTCCAAACATGTGACATTTCATAAAAGACAAAGCTATGAGACAGTAAAAATGATTAGTGGTGGTCTGAGACTTTGAGTAGAAGACAAATGAAGACACAGAACACAGATTTTTAGGGCAGTAAAAATATATAACATTAAAATAGTTGATAAATGTCATTACACGCTAATAGAACCTAGAACATAAAGAATGAACCATAATGTAAATTGGAGTCTGGGTGATCTTGAATTTTCAATGCACATTCATTGGTTGTAACAAATGTATCACTCTGGCAGGGGATATTGCTAATAAGAGAGCTTACACATGTGTGAAGCAAGGGATATATAGGAAATAGCTGTACCTTTCTTTTTTTCTTTGAACATAAAATGGCTCTAAGAAAATGTCTTAGTAGAATGAATTAGACATAACATTCCTATGTTTATATATAAATATATGACTAGGGTAAATTGACATCATATTCAACAAGAATGGGATCCTAAATAGAATAAGTTATACTCCATGTATGTATAATATAATATATGCTACTATCATGTAGATCCAAAAAGAACACATAACCACACATACACATGCATACTGATTTATTAATTCAAGTAAATCAGACTAGGTTAGCACATCATAGTACATCAGAATATTTCTCCATAAGGCAGGAAACTTTGTTCCAATAATTTACATTAAAGTATTACTAGGTATGGTGGTGCATGCCTATAATCCTAGCTTCTTGGGAGGCTAAGACAGGAAGATTGCAAGCTCAAAGACAACTTTAGCAATTTAGTGATACTCTAAACAACTTTGTGAGACCCTGTCTCAAAATAAAAAATAAAAAGGGCTGGGAATGTGGCTTAACAGTTAAATCCCCCTGGGTTCAATCCCCAGTACTGATAAATAAATAATTTGGCATGTCTTCCTTCTGAATATTATCTTTAATTCTTCATTGACATTCATAATTCCTTATCAGAGTTCTATGAATGTTTAATGTTTTGTCTATGTCCTATTACTGCCTTTGGGTTTCTATTTTTATTCAAACAAAATTATTAGTTTAATTTCACTTGTAATGTGGGAATTTGGTGTTTGAATAAATAATTAGTCATGGAAAAGCTGATATTTTAAAAAATGCACTTTATGAACCTACTTATGTATGTTATACCCTTCTTATTCTGAAGGACTGATGGATGAATTGTATACTATCATAAAATAATTCTATTCCCCTTCCAAAATTTTCTAAAATCTTTGCATATCAAGTAAGCTCCCTGAAAATGGAAAAAAAAATAGGTAGCTTTGGAAAAGACTTATTTGGAGAAAAAGAAGGTGTTCATAGTCCATATTAGAGATTTGGCAGGGCAGTAAATTAACATTAAGAATAATATATACTTTCTAATAGAGCATCTTTGCACAAAGGAGCAGAATAGACACTGCTTATGACTGCTAGTGGTCCTTCATATGTACTCATTCCAATACTTTACGAGTCCAGTTTTAACCATTATTTTTATTATTGTTACCTGCTTTAGTTAGCTTTTTCACTCCTGTTACTAAAGGACCCAACCAGAACAACTGTAGAGGAGGAAAGATTTATTTAGGCGGCCACAGTGTCAGAGGTCTTAGTCCATAGAGGGCCTACTCCATTCCTCCGGGTTGAGGTTAGGCAGGATGTCATAGCAGAAGAGTGTGGTATAGGGAAGTGGTTCACATGACGATCAGATAGGAGAGAGAGAGAGAGAGAGAGAGAGAGAGAGAGAGCGAGCCCACTAGCCAGATACAAAGATATACCCTAAAGCCACTGTCCAATTCCCACCTCCTCCAACCACACCTCACCAATTCAGCTACCACTCATTAATCCTTATCAGGGGATTAAATCACTGATTGGGTTAAGACTCTTAGAGCCCGATCATTTCTCCTCTGAACCTTCTAGCATTTTCTCACATAGGAGCTTTTGGGGGACACTTCACATCCAAACCATAACATTACCCAACACAACCTTGTTAAAAGGTGTAATAAGCAAAGTGTGGGGGGCTGGGGTTGTGGCTTAGCACTACAGCGTTCACCTAACACGTGCAAGGTGTTGGGCTCCATCCTCAGCACCACATAAAAATAAATAAATATAATAAAGGTATTGTGTCCAACTACAACTAAGAAAACAAAACCAAACAAAGAGGAGCTTTAGAATACCTTCACTCCTAAGGAAATGTCTGCCAAAGGTCACCTCTGCCACATGAGTCACAATGAAGGAAGTTCTTATTCAATCCTTGCAATTCTTTCTTTGTTCTTTGGCCAGATGTTTTTCTCACCCTCACTTTTTTCTTAGTTTGATCTTAGAGTGCAGGTAGATGAAGGACACAGGGTTGATGATACTCTAGCAATCGATGCTTTCACTTTTTTTGGTCTATGGGATTCACAAAAGGACAAATGGAGCTAAAATTTCCCTAAACTTAACTAAGAATGTTTTAAAATGTCTTATTTACCTAACTGGGAACCCTAAGAGAGTATTTGAAATAGAAACAAAGTGTTTTCATGGTATAAAAGGACTGTGAACAATTTTGGATCCAAAGTGAAAACTAAATTTTAGGGCGCTTTGAGGAGATTTTACTTTTGATATATTCTGACTGAATATGAAGAAAATCCTCACAAAGGAGGGTGAAATTTAAGCTAGCCTTGGAAGATGAGCAAGACTTTGACAAATGAAAATGTGTGGAAGAGCCTACTAGATATTCTGATATTAAAAAAATGTGACAGTGCAACACTTTTGGCAGCTCTTTTTTTTTTATTAATGTCCTTTTCCTCCTGAGCTCCAGGGAGACATTTAGCAATTAATCTTCTGGTGCTGCAATGACATAGGCACATGTGATTAGAATTGTGAATAGCTCTGTGAGAAGATAAAAGAAAAAACAGACAGAAGTGACAAGTCTAAGATCATAAAAGCAGCTGCTCACCAGAGATTAGATTGACCAAACTGTAGACTTCATTGTGGAGCCTTCAGTCACTGGACACCACCGGAATTCTTCCATTTGCTGCCCTGGTGGCATCTCAGGAGCAAAAAGAGCTGCAGAAGCTGCACCCTTTACTAACTAGACTCCATTCTGGAAATGCACTTTATCAAAGGAAGACAAATTAATTACTTCAATATTCAACTGAGAAAGAGATGGCTTTCACTTCCTTTCTAATGAATTCATTCATGTTTCTTCAAATTTGCATCAAGATTGATTATTTTATCATCTTCAACAATTTCATTTTGCTCTTCCTACTATGAATCCCATCCAGGAATTTACATTTATGACAATATTCCAATTTTGATTTTGCCATATTTTTGTTGGTATCATTGCATATTCAAAACATACTTATACAATCTAAATCTATTTTTTTTTCAGTGAAAATGCATGCCTTCGGTATAGCATATTTCTCCTTGGTTTTAGTATTTAGGAAATGTGCATGTTAATAATTATGAAAGCTCCAAAGTTTTGTGTTTTTGTTGTTGTTTGTTTGTTTGGTTTTTTTTTTTTTTTTTGAGGCATGAGCAGAGCTTTATTTAGAGAAGCAGGAAAGCAAGGATTACTTACAATAAAGGGAAGAGGGAGTATGGATAATATCAGTATGAGAAGGCTAAAGAGTATTCTTGAGGAAAAGTGTTAAGTCCAGCTCAAATTATTATACCACTAATTGAAGCATTAAACCATATATAAACAAGTGTGTGTTCTCTATTCAGTTTTGCTAAGGGACCAAAATTCTGTACATACTCACGAAATAAGAATTTGAAAGAGGTGTGGTATGATGAGTGTTTGAGTCAGGATGAACACCCATGTTCAGACTGCATGGTCACTGTAGATAACAGTGGGTATTTGTAACAATTTGGAAAGGAAACTGGACTGCTCTCTGAGTTAGAAAAATAATTCTTAACATCATTCTTATCTCCAAGAAAGCTTATTTGAAGTGTAGGTAAAGAATCTAAACTGACTAAACAACAGGAAACACGAACCAGCTACAGACTGTGATTGGCATATACTAATAATAAGAGAGTATGAAAATCGGGCCATGACAAAGACAGCAGAAGTTCCAGAGGAAGAAAGCTCTACAGAGTCATACACTTATAAGCATATTGCAGCCCAAAGTTGCAAATTTGTTGGCTTCAAGGATCAGCAATTGCATGAATTGTTAGAGCTTCCATAAAAAAAAAATAATAATAAAGTTGAGAGAAGAAACACCGGAAAAAGGAGAAAGCAACATAGACAAATTCTCAAAATATTCATTCTAGTATCTGATAAAATTGCCTGATGTCTAAACTCAATTTTTCCAAAGAAGATCAGAGGTAAAACAACAAATATTAGACTAAAAATTATAATTAAAAAGATTTAAGCAACTTTCTAGAAATTAGAAAAATATTCTGGGATTTAATCCTGCCCAGTAAGAGGGGCTTCATAAATTTTCAATTGAATGCCTAGAAGAGGCAGAACATAGGTATATGGGCCACAAGTGAACCCAAGGTATATGCCTAAGATAAAACTTCAAAAGGAAAGAGACTTACTTTGAAAAATCCGAAACCAAAAATTTCACAAAATGTACAATAATTGCTGGTAGTTTAATTGCCCTCCAAGGCAAAACCCAAGATAAACTTCAGAGCAACATAATAAAAAACAGTTTATAATGTATCATCCACAATTTCCACTATGCACTAAAATATTAAAAATAAAGTACATATGGAGAAATAAAAAACATAAAAATGTGACCCTCAGTCAAATTAAAACCACAAAATACATGTTTTATTACTGCAATGCAACCTCTCTAGATATCAAAAATTATATATAGATAACTCATGGTTAAAGCTATAGTAATGAATACAGTGTGGTACTGGATACATATATGGACAAATGGTAAAGAATAGATATCTTAGATCCTGGTGTACAGGTTTGTGGAGACTTGATTCAGGACACAAAAATGGAAACAAACACAGAAAGGTCCTATTTTCCAAAATTGGTTCTATATCAGTAAAATTTTATATGGGAAAATGAATTTCAATGCCAAACATATGATATACAAAAATTGCTTAGTACAAAATTAAATAATTTTTTAATGTAAAAGACAAAACTGTAAATCTTATAGAAGGAAAAACAGCATGCTTTTGACTATGTGAATAGGCTGAGATATTAGTGCAATATTTTTCCTAAATTTTAGTCAAAAATGAAAGACCATGTTAATATTATCTATTACATTTAATTTTTAAGATTTTCTCAAAGTTTGTGGAAAGTTCACCAGAAGACAAAATTAATAAGGAAAGAATTGTGAGCAATAGAATCAGAACAGCCATTTGCAACATGCTAAGTACCTAAATAATTCATACCTAAAATATAGTTTAACTTTGCATAAACTAATAAATAAAAAATAAGAGCAACCTAATATAATAGTGGAAAGACAATTAACCAATAGAGATAATGCAAAATTATGAGTACATTTATCCAGAAGTAATTCTTTACAATAAAGAAAAGCATATGAATGTCACAATGGGATACTGATGCAAATACAGTAGCATGGCTAAAATGGTATAGACAAAACCAAGTCTTTATTTGAATGTTGCACAAGAACTCAGGGACTCTGCACATAGGAGAGCAAATAGATTCAGCTATGTGAGAAAAAGCCCTATTGTCAAAAGTTAGTAAATCCAACACATGTATATCCCAAGTCGCAGCGCTTCTATGTACATATTCAATGAAAAATCATATTTATGCTCAAGGAGTTCTAATTGTAGCTGCCAAAATTAGAAGCAATTATTACTTTTTAACAATTTTATCTAGTTATATGAACACTTTTATAGGTTGACTATGATGTGGAATATTTACTTAACAGAGCATCAATCTATAAGGAGGATAAGCAAATGCTTTCTGCATGTGGTAACATAAATAAAATTCATTAAAAATCTTAAGAAACAAAATCTAGAAACTGAAGAACGTGCTCTGTACAATTCACATATAAGAATTTGGAAAAGTAGCAAAAGTAAAAAACAGAATGAGAGATTAGGGTAGAGCTCTTTGTGGAGCAGTAGCCAATGCACAGAAATAATAAGAAGCTTCTAGTACATTCTATGTTCTACTTCTTTGGTTATTGTTGTCCTTTGATATTTACTTTTTAAATTTTTTAATTTATATATGACAGCGGAATACATTACTCTTCTTATTACACATATAGAGCACAATTTTTCATATCTCTGGTTGTATACAATGTATATTCACACCAATTTGTGTCTTCATACCTGTACTTTGGATAATAATGATCATCACATTCCACCATTTTTAATAACCCCAGGCCCCTTCCTTTCCCTCTAGCCCCTCTGCCCTATCTAGAGTTTGTTTATTCCTTTCATGCTCCCTCTCTCAGTCCCACTATGAATAAGCTTACTTATATCAAAGAAAACATTTGGCATTTGGTATTTTGGGATTGGCTAACATCACTTAGCATTGTCTTCTCTAACTCCATCCATTTGCCTGCAAACTCTATGATTTTATTCTCTTTTATTGCTGAGTAATATTCCATTGTGTATATAACCCACATTTATTTTTATCCATTCATCTATTGAAGGGTATCTAGGTTGGTTCCACAGTTTATCTATTGTGAGTTGTGCTGCTATAAACATCGATGTGGCTGTGTCTCTCTAGTATGCTGTTTTTAAGTCCTTGGGTATAGACTGAGAAGAGAGAGACGTGGGTCAAATATTTTCACATGTGGAAAAGTATGCTTATTTTTGCTTCACTGTGTTTGTATAGCATGCTGCAAATTTTTAAATTTGATCTTATCAAGAATCTGTAAGAACATATGTCTACATGTTTGTACACCTCAGTGACTTGAATTTAATTGTTAGAGAAGAAAATAACAACAATATAAAGATATCTGATAATTTAAAAAGACTGGATTAATTCATATCCCAGGTGCAGCCTGTTTTTGTGCACAACACCCTTGGATTGATGAATATTTCAGGTCTCTGCAACCTTGGGAAGCTGGATCACAACTGAAACCCAGAACCCTAAGAAAACTGCTTTCATCACTATGATCAAGGCAATGAAGATATTCATGTGAGGTAAACTTGCCCAAGCTGCCTACCTGCCCACACAATCTCATGATGACCCTCCTAGCCCGAGTTTCACCTTGATGTCTGAAAATGATTTAGCATAACCATGTAGAAGAAAATGAGTGATTTGGTCTCTGAGGCTAGAAGAAAGTCAGGCAAAGAGGGTGAGTCCAAGGTTATTATATTTGATTTTCAACAAGCAACTATGAGAGCAAAAGACTGGGATGAGTTGGCCCTAAAAATCAAGACATGACAAATTGTGAGTCAGTGAAATTTCCTAAGTGTGTGATGGAATGGCTTTTGAAGACTCTTTTCTGGAAAGATTTAAATAAAATTTAATATTAGTTTCAGGAATTTTATTAAAAAGTATATAAATGCCATCTTCTTATTTTTAGTTTTCTAACCTATAAATTTTTTTCTTGGAATATGAAAATGAAGCTGAAATATTCACTATGTGTACTGTTACATTTCTGTAAAGCTATTTTGTCTATACTTTGACAATAAGTAGATATATGTGTTATATATATGTATATACATATATATTACATACGTAATATGTGTACATTCATACAAATACATATTTCTGACAGTGAACTACCTGAATATTCCCATTTGTACCAACTCTTAAAATGAATTCATAAATAATAAACTAGCACTTCTTCAGTTTAATGAGTATTCATAGGATCCCATGGCAAATTATGGCCTTCTGTTACATTCAATTCTAACATTTGCATTTAAATACAATATTTTGCATTTAATATCTTCTCTTTGCTGTAACAAAAAAAATAAGGCCACATTGAAATCTTGGAAAATATAATTGTAAAAACTAAACAAAAAGTACATGTTTTCTCTGTAAAAACTATTAACAAGCTTTAGACAAAACTAATGCCAATTTTTTTTTTTCAAACAAAGAATGGAAATTTGTATTGGATAATTTCCTTTCTTGTTTTGAAAATGTGCCC